CAGTTAATCGGCACTGGCTAGGAAGTAACGCAGGAAATTTACGTTCGTAGGAAATAGTTGCTTGGCTTAATCGTCCACCCACTCTCAAACTTCCAGCATCGTCAAGAAATGGAGATAGTTTCCTGAAATTTTTAGCAAGAGGTTACCATCCTTAAGAAGACGGAGTTCGTGACTAAAAAATAGGTCTTGCGAGCGTCTTACGAAAATTAACAGAGAATTGTAAGTCTCGGAGGATGTCAGAAAACCGGTTTCCAATTTATTCGATTTACGCAAGTAATGCACGTAACGTACCAAATAATTCAGCGACCGAACACATTTGTTTAAGGATGAAGAGTTCTCGAGCATGGTGTCTAGAAAATTTGTGGAAGCTTGGGTGGTATGGAGGTTCTCTCTAGATGAGACATAATGCCAACTGGAAGGATTAACTCTTTCCTGAACAAAAGACACCCTGTTACTGACGAAAGTCTTCCAACGGTGCGGAGAGGATCTCAACCAACCCAGAGTAACCGTGGAATCAGAGTAACAGAAAATATCTGTAAATTCGATATCGGATGACTTAATAGCCGTGGCCCCAAATGACACCAAGCGAGCCGCTAACACGGCTGCACATAATTCCAGACGCGGAATTGATACTATTTTCTTGACAGGGGCGACTTTAGATTTAGCCGTTACGAAATGAAGGACGGGTGAGGCTGACGACGTTAAACATCGAAAGTATAACACAGCGCAGTAACCTATTTCGCTAGCGTCGCCAAAGCAGTGAATTTCCAATTTGGACATCTCATTATGTAAAAGGCGTCTCGCAATATTTAGATTTCCAAGGACAGAGATTTCGGATAGGTACTTCTCCCACCAACGAACCACATCGTTAGAGGGTTTGTCGTCCCAACCGATTTTATGAGACCAAATTTTTTGAATGATATGCTTAATGAGGAGAGTGACGGGAGATAGAAAACCTAAGGGGTCGAATATCCGTACTAAGTTGGACAAAAGGAGTCGCTTTGTGCAACCGGAATCAAAAGCCTTCACTTTAAATCGGAAGGTATCGGATGGAGCATCCCATTCTACTCCTAAACCCCTTAGAGTCGGGGAAGACAGTTTGCTTACAAATTCAAGGGGGTTAATCGCCAGATCGGATGTCAGAATTCCCTCCAATACGGCGGGACTGTTACTGGACCATTTCTTTAACTCGAAACCGCCCGTGTTTAATAATGCGATGAGTTCATCGCGCAAAGCTAAAGCCGTTTGGATCGAACAACAAGAGACGACAATATCGTCAACGTAGGTGTTCCTTTTAAGGGTTTTGGCAGCTAGGGGATATTTATGCCCTTCCTCGACCGCCAATTGGTGCAGACATCGTATTGCGAGGTAAGGCGAACAAGAAAGACCGTACACGACTCGGTTTATTCGAAAGTCTTTACAGGCTCCTTAGGCGTGTTGCGCCAAAGAACTCGTTGGTAGTCCGTATGAAGCGGATTAACCAAAATTTGACGATACATTTTGGAAATGTCGGCGGTCAGAATACAACTGAATAAACGAAAATTTAATAATATTGTAGATATATCACTCTGGAGTTTTGGACCGGTGAATAGTTAATCATTGAGGGAAGGCTGGTTGGGAAGGTGTGCGGAACCGTTAAAAATCACCCTTAGTTTACTGGTTAAACTTTCCGGCCTTAAAACACAATGGTGGGATAGATAATAACAGTGAGGGGAACTGAACGAATCGTCTGGAATCGATTCCATGTGGTTAAGCGCAATAAATTCGTTCATGAAACCGCGATATTGCGAGTAAATCTCAGGCTGCTTCTGAAGTCTCCGCTCAAGGGAATAAAACCTCTGTAAAGCCAGAGATCGGATATTTGGGAAGATAGGGGCTTCTTCCTTAAAAGGTAAGTCGACGATGAACCGACCAAACGGCTGGTCTCGCCGGTGTGTGCTGACAAATGTTTGTTCCACCTTAATGTCATCGGAAGATAGACGAGGTGTATCAGGAACTGTCTCTAATTCCCAGAATTTGTCCAATTGTTGATCAAGGGAAACCGTGTCCTCAAGATGACAAAACAACGTAGCGAGTGCAGGCGCTTTGAAATGATTTATTTTCCCCATAAGGACATAGCCGAAGATTGTATTAATTGCGTCGGGCTGGTCTTTAGATCCAGGGATGCGTCCGTCCAACAGAATTTTAGAAAAGACGTCGGCACCCAGAAGGAGGTCTATAGGTCCCCTGCGGGAAAATTGGTCATCGGCCAAGTGTAAATTAGTTAAGTGGGACCAGTGACTATGTTTAATATCCAAAGCAGGCTGGTCTTCGCAAATTTTTTCCAGAATTAAAGCGTCAGTGGTTAAAACAGGATGAGTTTGATACATCGGTCTAAAAGATATAGTTACTCCACCTAAATCAGCTTGCGAATGCATGGCGCCTAACCCGTTTATACCAACCTCTATGGGAGACGGTCGTAAACCTAACCGGCTGTTTTTTGAGTTATGAATGACGACATACTTCCTGAATCGAGTAAGCATCGTATCGGCTGGTAGATTCCGCGGCCGTCGAGTATTTCGACAAAAACAGTGGAAAGTAAAACGCTCGAATTGGCTGAAGAAAAACCTGCAGTTACGGTCGATGGATTTATCTGGTCAGAGAGCTTAAGCGAATCATTGTTAGCGGGGGGTGACTGAAAGTGAAGTAATGTGTGATGATTTTTGTGGCACATATGACAACTCCACGTAGAGGTACAGGTACTAAAACGGTGAGAGCCTAAACAATTTACGCACATTTTTCCCCTCTTAACCAGATTGTAGCGCCCTGCGAGAGATTTTTCCAAAAACTCGCTGCATTTATAAATAACATGAGAATTTTTAAAAACAGGACATTTTGGTGGATTTTCAGTTTGAACCAGCATTGCTGTAGATTTGGAGAAAGTTGGCTTTTTGAGAAAAATTTGCTTTGTTTTAGTTTGAAAATTAATATTGTCCAACGCCAGACAATTTTTACTTAAAAATTGCTTTAATTTAGCATAACTTGGAATAGTACTGTCGTTGTGATGAAGTTCAAATAGTGTAACTAGAGAAACCGTGAGTTTTTTCAGCATCATTTGAACAAGTATAAAATCCCAGTGTTCCGTGGGTAACACTAGTTTTTGCAAAGCTGCGACATTTTTTTGAAAACGTATCTAATAAAGAGCGTAACTCTTTTGAATTATCTGAGGTAAGTTTGGGTGAGCTTTCGAGGTTATTCCATAAATTTGAAGCAATAACTCTCACATTATTGAACCTTTCTTTTAGTAAATCGTAAGCAATTGTGTAATTATCTGCTGTGATATCCAAATGGTCGACAGCGTCCCGAGCGACACCTTTCAAGCAAGAAACTAATAGGTTAAATTTGTCAATCGCTTTTAAGTGGGGGACCGTGTGAACACGCGCATCAAATTGATCAAGAAAACTCCGAAACTCGGTAACTTCTCCGCTAAATGTCGGTAACTCAGGCTTGGGTAAATTTAAATATGCAGAGATGGGCAATTATTCACCCGGTATAGCAACAGATTGCGTCGTCGGCTTCATTAAATTGCGTACAAATAGTTTGAATTCTATAATATTGAATATCGAATTTTTTCCGAAAATCATCCCCAATCTTGAATAGTTCATCCGCATTTTCCTTATCACATATGATTGATATAATTTTATTGTGAATTTTATAAAAATTTGTTCGAGTTTCCTCAAGTTTCATAGCTTCAAGAATGGGATAAAAACTTTCATCTTTGGCATTAACTTTCAGAGCAACATCGTATATTTCGTTCAATTTATGAATTTCAAGCGACCGGAGTACTTTATTCTTTTTATAATCACCCTTTTTTTTTTCAGTGAGTAAAAAATAAACGGTTCAAACCTAATAAAAACTGGTCAAACTCTTCACACACTAATATTAAATTATGTGCCCTGCTCTATTTACCTGACTAAAAATTAAATTATCTAAATGAACAACTGCGTATTGTATGGACGAAAGGTACATAAAAAGGAATGCGAAGGTCATCGATTTTTTTGTTTTGCTCAAGAATTAGATCTTGACAGAAAATGTTTAAATCCAATTTCAAGTAACTTAATTAAAATTGTGCCCTCTCCGTGGTAATAATCGAAATCAAAATAATGCGGATTGAAATAATGAACTTCTTTTAATCTCTGTAAGAGAGAAATGTTTTCCGTTGCGTAGCTAAGGCTAAAAACTGCCGAATCCGGATCGTTAGGACCAAATAATTTCTTTTCGCGGAGTAACCACCGATATGAAAAGAAAATGGGCGGCGAGCTCGGAAGAGCTTTAAAGTGGACTGTAGGCTTTAAAGATTTAGAAATACTACCGATCGCCAAACGGGCCGCTAAAGAACTTTAAGGTCTCACCTTAAGCGCACGCCTCCGTCTCCTCAGCAGGCCTGCGTCCTCTTTGCTGTAAGTTTTGCTACTCAATTCGCAGAACTTACTGGTGTTACGCCACGGACAACATAAAAACGCACAACGAAAATCGTTAGAATTAAAGTTCCCTTCGCGGAAAACGCGCAACAGAATGTTAATGCACTCCCGATCGGCTTGACCCAAAAAAAACTTTAACGGCAATACCGCGGTAAAAAATGTTCCAGCAACTTAAATTTTTATTTGAGTACGCACAAAATTATTTGTCCCAAAAATCCGACTAAACATAAGAAAACTTTCTCTCTTTGCAAATTACCAAAAAATAAAATAATAAAAAAAAATTATATATATACAAGGACAGACGTGTGATCTGTCCAGAAATATTAAATATTCTGACAAATCTAAAACATAAAACTCTTAATTTCACGAAAATGAGGCACTGCTTACCTTCTTTACACATTTTGATACCATAAAGAATTTTAAAAAATCTTGACTCTACCATTCACGAACCTAACTTTTTTGCAAAATAAAACATTGTAGCAGTAAACGTAAACAAACAGCGTTGTCAGGGTGAACTGAACTGAATCGCCACAGAACAAATATTGCGTGTGACAAGAATCGACGTCGAATCCTCAAAAATTTGAAAAATTCTCAGTATGTGAAAGGGAAGACCGCCAATAAATGGAATATAAGGACGCTACAGATGTCGAAGAAGAAGAAAACAGCGACTACTCCAAAGAGCACCCATCGAAAGTCCACCCGTCACCTGAATTGATCGCTGTCATCGGAGACGAAGAGACCTGCGTAGGTTTCATATTGGGTGCGAGCATTGTAACAGACTACGACTAATATCACAATATTCCGGTTGCCCAATTTTCAGCTGGCACTGGACAACTGGACGAATGGGACAAGCCGAATTACCATATAGTCGGACCTCATACCGACGACTACGAGGTAGAGCTGGCGTTCCAATCTTTCGTCGACCGAAAAGATGTCGCCATCGTCTTGATAACGAAGGAGGCGGCGGAAAAAATCGCCTACACCTTGAAACGCTACAAAAAAATTATACCGGCGACGCTGGTTATACCGGGACACAATGGACCGTACGACGTTGACCTTCCGCTTATCGTTGCCGATATCCAAAAGCGCAAGGAGATGGCACTGACGAACAACAGGAGATCGTCAAGTTCGTCGGTCAACTCTTTCCGTTCGAGCACGTCTTCGTGAAAAACTTGATTATTCTCGCGGTTTTGCAGGACGGTTACTTAGGCGCTTGCCAAGTGCTTAACTGGGGTTAAATTAGAGAAAAGTTGTTGAACTTTAATAACTTACAAAACAGTCGACCATAATAATAACAAATAATTTATTTCTTTCTCAACTTTTTTATTCGGAAATTAATATGATATAATATATCCTTGACAGATCGAAAAATCTTACTTTGTGTAAAGAATTAGAATCTATGATTAATGCGCCTGTTTTCATCGAAGATTTTCTTAAAAGTACAGCAAAGTATTCTGGTCATTCTGGTGTTCTGACGAGTGTTTGAACGCTCATTCCAGTCCATTCTTCCATTCCAAGACGATTGCCAACTTACTGATATTGACGATCAAGTTATTACCAAGTGAACAATCAGAATGCTTACGTTAACAGTAAGAATTATCTAGTGTTCAAGTTAAAAAAGAAAATTGACAAGTTAATCAACAGAATTGCCAAGTTACCGATGCGTATGGTCAAGTCAACAATCGAGAACTATCAGAATTATCAAGTTCACAATCGGAATTAGCAAGGGAACACTCATAATTGTCAAGTTAACAAATTGGATTGGCAAGTTAACATTCAAGATTCATTCATTCATTCATTGTCAAGTTCATAATCAGGAATGTGAAGTGAATAATCAGAAATATCAAGGTAACAATCGCGTTTACTAAGAGAACAATCATACTTGTCAAGTTAACAATCAGCATTGCCAGAATCAGATTTGTCAAGTTGACAAAAAGAATTACCAAGTTACCAGTATTGATGATTAAGTTAACAATTAGCGCGATTAAATAAAGAATCACTATTAACAAGCGAACAATACAATTACCATTAACAATCATTGCCTAGGAACAGAATCCGTATTAATGTCTTTGGTTTACGACCAAGATATATTCGTTTATCTATCAAGTAAAAAAGCCCCAAGTGGAGTGACCGGTCAGCTTGGCAGATACCAACCCACGTGATTTCGTACGGCGACCGTATAGCGAATAAACGGCCGGTAGTAATTTATTTAAAAGTGCAGCGCGTATTCGTAGTTTAAGATATTTATATCGTCGATAAGAAGCTGCCACCGTATACGATTGAACTTCCGGCTGAATTGATCCAATTTTCCGTCAGGTATAGAAGAAGCGGGCATTAACAATGTAAAACCCTTCAAAAATTCAATGTTCTAAAAGCAAATATACGGTACAGATAGACCTTATTCGGGGTAGGGTTCGGACGAGTACGTTCCGTTTGTCGAATACGTAAGCTGTTTACATTAAAGGTAACACTCTTTCTTCGGGCGACTTACCTTTGGAAATAGGACCGTCTCGGATGCGTCCGCCATTGTCAGATTATAATCAGCAGAACTGAAATTGACTTTCGCTCGCCATCTAATCCATTTCCTTCGTGTTGCATGAAGAGTAAGAAAACAAATATAAAACTTGTACGGCGTATTGTAAAACTGCATTGTGATATTTTGCCGCTCACTTTAAATCGAATAGTAAATATATGCTGAAATATCATATGATATAAGGTCATTTGTTAAAGATTTGCAGTAATTTGTTTAGTATTTACAGTAGTCTAATTGGATTTCTGGTGATTTACTGATGAGTTTCAACGATAAAATGAGTTACGAACAATTTACGTACAGCGATTTGAGGTCACCTCTGGATAACTCAACCCCACAAACCTCTGGATTTATATGATATTATTGATGATTTAGTGTGCAAAATTCTGGCAGACATTTTTATCCCTCACTCCAAACTGTGCCTGTGGGAGTTCGATTAAGAGGAGTAATTTGTATGTATTTGTGGGGGGATTAATGCACTATTATCCAAATAATCCGCCAAAGGTTTGGAATTATGTCAATTTAAAGAAAGGTGTGGCTAGGATACGAGTCTATGCGTGTAGATGAATCTGAGTTTAATACTCCTGAAGGAATTAAAGTTGATGGTTTTGCATGGTTTTTTCAAGTGTATTTTCTCAGTTTAGTTTTAATATCACCGATTCAGCCTGGGAACAAGAAATTATTTTTTATATCCAGTAATGATCCACCACTACTAACCTTATCTATAATAATCAGTATACCTTAAGACAAAAACCAGGGTTGATATCCAAAAATCGTTTGACCAAATTGAAATAGTACTCCGTAAGGTGCAGAATATTGGACTTTCGAATAATTTATTAACTTTTATAGAATAATATCCACAAGCCTTACCCCAAGTTTTTTCGTTTTCATCAACGATTTATCCATTAAAGATTTTTTTGGACATCACCAAACAGAATCATTGCAAGGAATTACAAAATGATTTGCTCATGGTAAATCAGCAACTTAATGTTATCAACAGCAAAGTACTATCTTTTTATCAAAATAATAGTCCCATGTTGTTAAGCTATACAACCATTGCAGAGGCATGCTACGTTCAGAGATCTGTTAGACACTAACTTTACTTTTACTGAGCAGATATCAAAAATTACAGCAAGCGTATGAAAAACTGTGTTAGAAACTGGCGAGGTCTGCCCATAATCTCGATTTTGCACAACATTTATAAAAAGTAAATTGGAATATTCATCTACAATATGGTCACCGGGCTACTTCTAGTTAGGAGAGTGTCCTACGAAAGTGCTTAAAATATTTTCACTTCAAGTTACAAGTATATTATTATCCTGCAAGGGGGTTTGATCAACTTTTGTTGCTTCAGCTCTTTGACACTATATTTCACACAGTGCTGACCTTTTTTATAAAGTGAGGGTAAGACCAATACGATGTACACATCAGCAATTTATCAAATATGTCTGAACTTTAACCTTGGTGTAAACAGTTGTTTCTAAATGCATTTTTCATTTTTTAATTAATACTATGAACAATTTTCGGTTTTATGTAGGTATTAAATCTAATGAGTTCGATGCCGTTTATTGTTTTATATGTAAAGCCTTTTTTGTTATTGAGTGTACAGGGTAAGTCAACGATAGGGTAAAAATTATTAGGACGCACAATTTAAAACACCCTAGTGTTAAATTACGTTTTGAATCTTAAACTTTTTTTATTAATAATAATACATACATAGATCTAATGCTTTTCCCAATATTTTTATTTTTCTAAAAAATTACTAATTTTCACACTTGGAGAACAATTAAAATAGCGTCACTATTTTCATACTTGATTTTAGCTTTATTTGAAGATGACGCAAATGCTACAGGATGTTCAAACAAACAAATATTTCTGAAACATTTTAACTAGAAAAATTTCGATGTTCTTATTAATTTTATTATTATTTATATTAATTTTTCTGACAGATCTTACGAAAATCTACAACTTATTATTTAATATATCTATTTTCAATAATCTGCGATTTATTTTTTTTCAATAATCTGCGATTAATTTTAACTTTTTCTTCTTTCTGTCTCAGACTATTGCTATACTATTAGTATTGATTAGCAATGACAAAACTATTAGCCAAGAGGGCTCTGTTAAGATTGAAAAATGAACAGGAGCAAGAACTTTGTTAGGGCCGTAGGTAAAGGAACCAACAGTGATTTGGTGAAAATAAAGGCCAAATTTTAAATTCACAGAAAAAGTAAATACGAGAAATACCCTTCACTGCATATTAACTTATCTTATTTTTAATTATTCTGCTATTACGCAATAAATGTTCGAAAATACGCCCACCTAGCATAGCATAGCGTCCCGAGTACCATTTTCCATATCTTCTGGTGTTGTAGGAAAATTCATATAACCAAGGTCTTTAACATATCCCCACAAAAAGGAGTCTGGTGGTCTTAAGTAATATGATCGAGGAGGCCATACAATGAATCCAATGAAATTCCATACTTAATTTACTGAAACCACAATAAATTTTACAAATTTATTTACTCAGTTGTCGGGTAAAAATTTGAGAATATTATTGTGTCAATGATCCAAATATAATTTCAATAATTTAAATCCCGTTGCATATATATTTTACGGCATGTTCGAATAATACTAATGTTAAATATGATTTTGAAAAAATAAAATATTAGAACAACCATTACGTTTGGGGATGTATTATTAATAGCAAAAAAGTTAAAGAATTTTAAAAATTAGGGTGCTTTAAAAAATTATGTTTTGTTCGTCACGCTAATTAAAACTATTGTGCTTCCTAATAATCATTACAACCTTTGTATTTAGCATTTTCTCACTATTGAAATCAGTGGGTTAATGAACTTTACTCTATCCTTGACATACCCTGTACAATTGTTGAAAATAAGTCAGTATTATTATTATTATTATTGTGCGCATCGTGCCTGGCCTCTACTGTGCATTTCTATAGTCTCTAAAAACAGTCTCTGTTTGTCGATTTCAACTCAAATTAATTTATTCAAAGCGGCTCATCGTGCGATTTAGTGTCTTTCGATTCACAAAAAGTATAATCCAACGTGCAACACGTGTTCAAGTTCGAATTTAGACAGTATTTTTTTGTTTCACGTAGTGACACTGTGCCACCGGGAAGCGACGGCGTCCACGGTCGGTTGATAGTAGTCAATTCCTATTTAGATCAATATCGTTTTACAAAGTAAAAATCTAGCCGACTGTGCGGTTGGAGTCTCTTTAGGTATAGTTAAAATTATGGCCGATCAAAGCAATCCTAAGCCTTGTACAAGGTGTAAGGGCGTGGCAGGTACTGGTCTATTGTGTATCAAGTGCGGCACGATATCGCATAAATCGTGTGTGAAAATCATGAAAAACACGAAAATTTTGGAAGGCGACAAGATTGATTGCTGTTCCTACTGAGGTAAATCTTTGGAGTCGGGTCCAGTTCCTGATGATTCGGGAGCAAACGCTCCATTTGATGCCGTAAGAACCGAAAGAACTCTTGAATCGAGAATCAAGCCGTGCCATTACCGCTCTAAAACACGTGAGCCTACTAAAAAGCAGCAGACTCCTTGAAGGGCTAACTCTAGATTCTGCAAATAGGGCTAAACCATCACAGACAGGTCCAATTAAGCAAAACACCTCCAAGTCGAATAAAATTGCAAATAAAGGACTGTCTAGTGCAGTCACTGAGGCTGTGTCACATCAGATATACTCTAAAATAGTAGAACTGGATGGTGGGTCCA